AAGAATAGATCTCAGGACCTCCTGGATCCCAGACCAGTGCATGGCCTCCTGGACTAGGAGATAGTGTGGGGAAGAACTCAGAAGCCACTCTTGCCCTCCTTTCACTAGAACCTAGATGGTCCTGAACCTTTTGGAAATTAGTCGTTCCAGGTTCTGGGTGATTCCAGGGACTATAGTTTGAAATTACATGTGCGCAATGCAACCACCTATCTTCTGAACACTGCTCTGAAAGAGGTATTAATCGTATTTCAGATACAAAGTATACATTTTCAAATCCTCATAACTTGGTCAATTTGCAATCAGTTCTCACAGGAACACTTAACCTCTCTTTTAGGGAGGGCTATTTGCATATCAATTATCAGCCCTTGATCCCCAGCATCTCAGCACTAAGGCACACAGAAAGTTAAGAGTGCGTATGTGTACACAGCACATTTTTACCTCAGTCTCCTCTCATTCAAATGACTGAATGTTATTTGCTCAAACTTATATACTCAATCACCACGCGTGGTAGCGACCAAGCCTAGAAAATTTCAGCCCATAAAGGAAAAGTTTCAGAAAGTTACAAGCAATCAAAACAGGAGGCTAGGCTGGAAACTGTTATACAACCTTAACTACAGCAGGTCACAACCATCAGCTGCTAGAATACTCGCTGAGAAAAAGGCCTGGTCCACACTAACCCCCTACTTTGGACTAAGGTACGCAAATTCAGCTATGTTAATAACGTAGCTGAATTCGAAGTACCTTAGTCCGAACTTACCGCGGGTCCAGACGCTGCAGGCAGGCTCCCACGTCGATGCCGCGTACTCCTCTCGCTGAGCTGGAGTACCGGCGTCGACGGCAAGCACTTCCGGGATCGATCCGGGATCGATTTATCGCGTCTAGACAAGACGTGATAAATCGATCCCAGAAGATCGATCGCTTACATCCGGACCAGGAAGTAAGTATAGACGTACCCTAAATAGCAGAGTTAAGGTTGCTGCCACCCAGTGGAGCCTTCTGCTCTTAATATCTTTCCCCAGGAGACGCACTGTTAAGGTGCTGCTTCACACACAAGACAACCACATCTCCCTCCAGCTCCTAGATGCACCATTCATTCTTTTGGGAGCCGAGCATATTTACTTAAACTACACAGAAATCATTGTAAGAAATCCCCTAATGCATGGTTAGTCTTTAACAGCGACTGTGCCACTGGAAACAGTAGGAGAGGTACCTTGTTGTGTGCAGTGTGATCTGTCAGCCAGCAGCAATCGCTCCCCATATCAAGTAAGGAGTTCTTATTTATTATTTGTATTGCAGAAGCAGATACACAAACAAGGGAACCCAGGCAGACACATCATATCTTGCCATAGCACTCTTACTGAAGGCATACCAGAACGGACAGAAATCATCTTGACCACTCACCACACAAAAGACCAGCTTCCTCCAAGACACAAATGACTTCCTCCACAAACTCCACAACATTAACAGCCTCCCTCAGAACACCATCCTCGCCACTTCCCTAAACACCAACATCCCTCAAAATGACAGCATCGCTGCCTGCCTCAAATATTTACAAGACAATGGACATCCCTCAGATAGCACCCCAGATACATGGCCGAACTCATCCATTTCAGCCTAACCCATAACAATTTTACATTCAACAAACACTTTGTCCAAACCAGGGGAACAGCCATGGGTACTAGGATGGCTCCCCAATATATCAACCTCTTCTCGGGTTCTTCTTGAAGAAGAATTTCTGGACAAATGCACCATGAAACCAATGATATACCTGAGACACATTGATGATATTTTCATCCTCTGGACAGATGGCTTAAACTCCCTCATAGATTTCCATCACAATTCCAACAATCACCACCAGTCAATTAAACTCTGGAACACTCCACACCAGCATCAACTTCCTGGACACCCCCACCAGCTTCAACAATGGAACCCTACAGACAATTATATACAAGAAACCCACAGATCACCACACTTACCTTCATAGATCCCCAAATACACCAAGAAATCTTATCTACAGCCAGTTGCTAAGATACCACAGAATGTGCTCCAAGGAGAAAGTCTGGGATATACACCTTAACACACTTAGGGCTGGTCCACACTGGGGCGGGGGATCGATATAGGAAACGCAACTTCAGCTATGAGAATAGCGTAGCTGAAGTCGACGTTTCCTATATCGAAGTAAAAGTACTTACTTCGGGTCCACGCGGCGCAGGCAGGCTCCCCCGTCGACAGCGCTTCCTCCTCTCGGCGAGCAGGAGTTCCGCAGTCGACGGGGGAGCGCTTCTGGGATCGATCTATCGCGTCCAGATGAGACGCAATAAATCGATCCCAGAAGATCGATCTCTACCCGCCGAATTAGGCGGGTAGTGTGGACCAGCCCTTAAAAACACCTTCATCAAAAAAGGATGCTCCACCAGAGAAGTAGATTGCATCATGGAAAGGGCCACCCAAACACCCTGAGAGAACCTGCTTCCATACAGAAATAAAACCCCTTCCAACCACACACCCCTAGTTGTCACCTACCACCCCACACTGGAACCTATACAGGATATTATCAAACAACAACAACCAATACTTGATGGTCACCCCATCCTGAAAGGAAGAATCCTGAATTCACACTTCTGGCCTTCAAACAACCCTAACCCTCCAAGCTCATCATCAGAAGCAAGCTCCCCACAGACCAGAACACACCAACTCAAAGCAGCACTAGACGCTCCCAGAACAACAGCTGCAAAACCTGCAGACATATCTCCACTGCTACAATGATCAACACTCTCACAACACTGCTACAATGATCAACACTCTCACAACAAACCTTTCAAGATCCGTGGGCCCTGCACATGCCTATCACAACATGTGGGGTACCCCATCCAGTGCACTCAATGCCCCACAAACAACTGTGTGTGTGAAACCAGACACTCACTGTACTCTCCATGAACTCACACAGGAAAATGATAAAAGACAAAACACCCTGTCACCTGTGGGTGAACACCTTTCACAAAGCAATCACTCTATGTCTGACCTATGAGCACTCATCCTCAAAGGAAACCTGCAAATCGCTTTCAAATGATGAGCCTAGGAGCTTAAATTCATAACTCTGCTAGACCGGGGTGAGCAAACTTTTTGGCCTGAGGGCCACATCGGGGTTCCGAAACTGTATGGAGGGACGGGTAGGGAAGGCTGTGGCTCCCCAAACAGCCTGCCCCGCCCCCTATCCGCCCCCTCTCACTTCTCACCCCCTGACTGCCCCCCTCAGAACTCCCAACTCATCCCAGGACCCCCCGCCCCTAACCACCCCCCGGGACCCCACCCCCATCCAACCCCCCCGCTCCCTGTCCCCTGACTGCCCCCTGGGATCCTCTGCCCCTTATCCAGCCCCCCTGCTCCCCGCCCCCTTACCATGCCGCTCAGAGCACTAGGACTGGCAGCCGCACGGCCCGGCTGGAGCAAGCCACGCCACCGCGCAGTCTAGAGCACTGGGGCAGGCCGGCAGCTCTCGCAGCCATGCTGCCCGGCAGGAGCTCGCAGCCCCGCCGCCCAGAGCGCTGGCAGCACCGTGAGCTGAGGCTGTGGGAGAGGGGGGACAGCAGGGGAGGGGCTGGGGGCTAGCCTCCCCGGCCGGGAGCTCAAGGGCCAGGCAGGACGGGCCTGCGGGCCCTAGTTTGCCCACCTTTGTGCTAGACACTATCATGGACTGAACAAAGACACTGGATATATGGCTTATCACAACGATTTGTAACGGACTAACCCCCTCTTTTTGTCCTACTACCTTGAATGGTCCCTTAGAATATGTGCTAACTACTTATGCCAAACAATCTGTTCCATTTTACATTTAGCTGGGACACCGGGAGTACCTTTCAAAGACCTGGAGGAGAGCTATTTGTAAGCTTCAAAGCTTGTTCTCTCACCAACAGTTGTTGAGCCAATAAAAGATAACTCCAATTTTCCAGCCTAATCCGACTGCCTGTAGATTTTAGAGAAGATTCAAAATTCTGCTTTAAACAAGAAACACGTTGCAGTCTTAACTATGGAGGGATTAGCAGTTGCTCCATAAAACATAAGCTCAAAGTCAGAGGTAATGTTGTTCTAGCCGCTTTAATTCTGAATTTGAGATTTTGGGCTCATACAGTTTCACACCAATGTATCCTTTCTTTTTTCCATTTTATTTATTCTAACATACCAACTTTTCACAATCTATAATGTGGGGTAATGACCACTATGCATCAGTGTACAAGAGCACTCTGTGACAAGATAAAGCCCAACAAGCTTGGAGACGGAACAGAAATATCTGAAATATAAAAACAAGGGCATCAGTTATTCCATTCAATAAGGCAGGTTTCTTAGGCTATGTCTACACTACTCAGCTTTTAGCAACACAGCTGTGCTGCTAAAAGACGCACAGTGCACCCGCTGTTTGTCGAGAGGACAAAAAACTTCCACTCCCAACAAGCGGCACATTAGCTCTCCTGCCGACAAAATGCGGTTCACACCGCTTGTCGTCGGCAAAACTTTTGTCTTTCAGGGGTGTGTAGTTTTTTTAACACCTCTCACAAAAGTTTTGTCTTTCACTTGCCAATGTAGACAAAGCCTTAGTATGAGCCCTTCAAATGAAGATATGTTCCAGAAAACCAGTCAAACGATTATTTAACTGTTGCAGTATGTGATAGACTCCTTGACATCAGGGAATTGCTCTGACAGAAGGATATCCCCTCCCCCACCAATGCTGGAGGAGCATTATTCCCTGGTTCCAGCCCTGGCTGTACTTAGGGGGAAGCTATCTCCCAGGTGTCAAACCAGCCCACCTCCTTGCTAGACGGGGGAGAGGGTTATCCCCTGGGTGTTGACCTAATCTGGCCCCTTGCTGTGTGGCGGCTTTAGTCTCAGAGCAAGAAGACAGTCTGGCGTTTTGCTGTAAGGGGTGGGTGGGTTTGTGTGTCCGTCCCTTAGGGTAATGAGCCAACCTGCCTGTGGGAGGGGTGCTCGAGGGACTGGTTTTTTACCTGTGTAATGAACTGGTCTGATGCATCTCTGTATTTCTCCAGCACAGCCGTGGGGACAGGCTCCTCATACTCAAACTGTGGGTTGTAAGTATAACAAGACTGGAAGAACTTCTCTCTCTCCTTGTCAACATTCAAGGGTCTAAGGGCCACCAGAAGGCAAGGACTCCTCCTGCTGACGTTGATCTCCTCAGCCTTTGGCCTGGCAATATGAGGCAGGGAAGCTGCACTGCGGATCTGTGCACGTGCCCGGCCACTACTATTCACAGTGCAGGTGCTCTCGCTACGGCGCATCCAGCTGCAGGGGCTTGGGAAAGCAGGGCAGATTTCCGACAGCCGCCTGACCTCAGGCCTTGCTTCTGAGACCTTGGAGCACTTGAGCTTGGTAGGCGTTTTGAGCCTTTGGCCCAGGTGGGTAGGGTCTGAATCTGGAGATGGTGAAGGGGAGAGGTAGGAATAGAGTCGCAGCCCATTGTGTTCAGAGAACTTTTTCCCGCCCCTCTCGCGCTGGGGGCTGGCGCTCAGGACATTGCGATGCCGCTCATACGACTGTGTCCCCGAGTCCAGCACCATCTTCCTTGACCAAAATCCTTGTCGAGATTACATCAAACCGGGCGCTCTCCTCTCATCTCAGCCTTGTACCTAGAGACACACACAAAGAGATGCAGGAACTGCACAAACAACCTCAAAAGAGAAGTCTCCTAAACACCAGGATGCTGTAACTGTGATGACACCGCAGTTATGAGGAACAAAATACCTCTCTTCTTCGAATTTCCCAAGTAGGTTGGCTCTTACCTACATCTGCAGGTAAATTCCCCACATCCAGAAGTTCAGTAACCCCAGACGTGGAGGCGAGCCCAGCACAGCCACCAACTCTCCAGAAGAGATTAGACCAAAAAGCACCAGGTGATTTACAGCCTCACCTTCATTTTCTCACTCAAAATTGTAGCTTTGGATCTAAAGTTTTCTGTGCTTGTTATGTACCAAGAGGTCATTTCCACAGTCAGCACAAGTATATGCACAGCTTGTGCACCAATCTAGTTTCTAAATGCACCTTATTAAATCAGTGCAAACCATGCCCTCACCCCCATTGAGGGTTTAAGTGTCCACAGAAAGGGTTTGCTGCTTTAATTAAATCAGTGCACACATTGCACAGATACAAGCCCTAAGTGTGAGTTACGGAAGTGGAGGAAATGTGCTTTTCCTATTGTTAAAAAAAACCCAGTATTTCAATATAACTAGAGCTAACTTGGCCCTGACAGAGTTCTCAATGAGGAGCACGGATTTGGTTTGGTTTAAAGGAAAAATTAAGAATAGAATAAAACAAAACTATAAGGTGCAGAGGTCTGCCTTACTGCAGTGTTAAGATTGCGGAGTTAAAACCAAGTCACAAAGTGCAGAAGTTACAGTTCCCACATTAATGAGAACTGAACAATGGCATGCCATAATATTTTTATATGCAGTGGTATTGTAGCCACGTCGGTCCCAGGATATTAGCAAGACAAGGTAGGTGAGGTAATATCTTTCACTGGACCAACTTCTGCTGGTGAGAGAGAGAAGCTTTGGAGCTTATCCAGAGCTCTTCTTCAGGTCTAAGAAACTTACTTCAAGTCTAGGAGACCTGAAGAAGAGCTCTGTGTAAGCTCTGAAGATTGTCTCTCTCACCAACAGAAGATGATCCAATACAAGATATTACCTCACCCATCTTGTCTCTCTAATTACATTTTTAGCCAGGCATGCAATTCTGCACTTGTATGCAAACAGGCATTCTTCATGCAATGTTACATTGCACATATGGTGCATGCGAGGTCACGCTATGTGGAGGACACTGTTCTTTTCTACAAAATGGCATCCTCCATGCACGTTCAGGGGCCAGACACAGTCATCCCCCAGGCACAGTTTCCTGGGGCATGCAATGCCTGCCTTGCATATGTGCCACTGGAACTATATGCACTGAGAGGGCATTGGCCAGTCTTGTTTTCTTGCACAATGGGTAACTAACATCCCTCACCCAGGGTGCGTGGACACTTGGGGCAGCAAGTGGACTGAGGAACTGCTGCTTCTTTCACAGAATGGTCCTGCTGCCACTAATTTTGTACTTTGCCCAGGAAAAGAGTAGCCTAAAGTATGCTGGGAAGTAGAGCCCGTGCAGCTGCTGGGAGCTGGGGAGTTGATCAGGCAGCTGCTGCTAGGAGAACAGCCTGTGAAGAGGTACGGGAGGGTGGGGTTTTTTTGTGGCGATGGAGGTGTGCAAAATGTTAGGGTGAATTAAGTAACAATAGAAACAAATTAAATAACTGTTCAGGTCAGGCTGTCGAGCAATCAAAGGTCAGGAAAGGCCAGAATGAAGTTTGCCCAAGCAACCTTAATGATCCCCCCCCCCTCCCCTTATGATAAAGTCTCTAACTGCATCGTCCCACACTTTTAGTTCTTAAACCTGTGGGGCAGCCTCCCCTGGGTGCAGGCTGGTCTAATGGGGAGGTCAGACCAGGCCTGGTAGACAGGGGTCTGGGGGAAGGGGAACACCGTGGGGCGGGGACGGCAGAGGGCGCTGTGGAGTGGGGATGGCGGGAGGTACTGGGGGGGGCCCTGCAGGGCGAGCACTGGGCAGGGGCGGGGCCGGCAGGGGGCGCTGCGGGGTGGGGATAGCGGGGGGTACTGGGGGGGGCGGCGGGGGGGGGAGGG